ATGCTTTCATTGCAGTCAGAGTATTTGTTATATTGAACAGTCAGTGATTTTCCCAGTGAAGTCCAAATTTGCTTGGTTCAGACTCCTCTCTGTGAGACTTATGGCAGCAGCAGTGGATGTGATCTTGTGCTTTGTGCAAGCGAGGGGAGAGCAGAGAAAGCTCAGCCAGGTTTGGAGTTGCCAGGTGTGAAGACTGGTCAGTGGGCAGTGAGTGTGGGGCCCCTGTGTCTCCAGACACAAGCAGTCTGGGACTCACTTGTGGGACTTTCTTGGCGCTCTTGATTACCCCAGGGCCCCAAGGAAAAGCTGCCTTATGTGGCTTTTGTCCCTTCAGTCAGGATGTGGACTTAGTTTAGAGTAACAGTGCTGTTACATAGCTTTAACAGCTTCAGTGCTGAATAGAATAGTTTTTAAAGCTTAACCCTCTGTTATGCCTAGTGTGTTGGGAAGAGTGTGTCCCTCAGATGGGGACTCGGGTTCACACCCACCCCTATGCTCTCCTGTCCCGCAGTGTGTCTGCTGGAGCTGAGAGCAAAGGTGCTAATCATCAAAGCATTTATTGTGGGGAAAAGACCTGAGACATGAGACTCTGGAATACCCTGGAAATATTCAAGGTCAGGTTGGATGGGGCTCTGAGCAATCTGATCTAGCTGAACATGTCCCTGCTCACTGCAGGGGTGTTGAACTAGGGGACCTTTAAAGGCCCCTTCCAACCTGAACCATTTGGTGACTCTGTGATTCTAGAGGAACAAACATTACTATATTGAATGTCTGCCAAGCAGACTTCCAGTCACTGCTGACTTGTGCTGATTCACACCAGCAGACTGAAAACACAAACATTTGTGCTAGCTTCCAGCCTTTGGAACTGCTCAAACCCCTTCATATGACAGGCGTATTTGAACACTGCAGTGAGGCAATGAAATGGCAGAAAGCAAAATCCTTTTTTATATTCTTTCAACAATCCCATGTTAAATCATATTTAGTTGTGAGACAGTATTTCTATTTTCTTTGTGCAGATATTCCTTATTATTTCAGTGAAAATACCTTTATACACACCTTTCCAAAGGAAGAGAAATTTTCACCATCAGTTACTATAAACATGTTAAGTGTTCAGTCATCCTTCAGATAGTTGCTTATTGACCTAGAACTTCATAAATGCTTGCCTAAGCTTGGAAGAAAGTAAGTGAGATTTCTCTATGCTGACAGGATTGCTGTAGGAAAGGTGGCATCCCAAGTTGTAAGGAAGGCACTGCTTTTCTTCATGAAGTTCAATAAGGACACGTGCAAGGTCCTGCACCTGGGTCGATGCAATCCCCACAAATACAGATTGGGTGGAGAACGGATTGAAAACAACCCTGAGGAGAAGGACTTGGGACTGCTCTGCTCTGAAGACAGGCTTAGAGAGTTGGGGGTGTTCAGCCTGGAGAGGAGAAGACTCCAGGGAGACCTTAGAGAACCTTCCAGTGCCTGAAGGAACTCCAGGAAAGATGAGGAGGGACTTGGGACAAGGGCAAAGAGTAATATAGGACAAGGAGTAATGGATTAAAACTGGAAGAGGGGAGATTTAAGTTAGACATTAGGAGGAAATTCTTTAGTGTGAGGGTGGTGAGACACTGGCCCAGGTTGCCCAGGGAAGTTGTGGAAGCCCCTGGAAGTGTTTGAGGGCAGGCAGGATGGGGCTTTGAGTAACCTGGTCTGGTGGGAGGTGTCCCTGCCCATGCAGGGGGGTTGGAACTAGATCATCCTTAAGGTCCCTTCCAACACAAACCATTCATTGATTTCCTGATGGCTGCCTGCTGTGGAACTGCTGTGGTGGACCCCAAATTAACCAACAGAGCTGCACTTTGGGGGCTATGAGTAACTTGTATTTAAGCATTTTGTGCAGCTTCTCAATGTGAAGCATGGGAGCTGCTTAGAGAGGAGCTGGGATGCTCTTGTCTGCAAGTACTCTGCTGAGGGCCTGAGGTGATGCAGCAGGAGTGCCTTGGTTGTAAGGGAGCATCTGCTGTGCACCTTGTGCTTACATCCCATCATACTGGTGAATTTGGAGTCACTAAGGGATCTGAGGAGCTGCTCTTGTGGATCTCTTCCTCCACATATAAACCTCAAGCATACAGGTTAATAAGGAAATTGGTTTGAATCACCCTAAATGTTGCATTTGTAAAATGCTTTGAAAGTAAAATGTTCTTTTTAGGACTATAGAGCACCAGCATTAGCAATTCTTGGTGTCTACACAGAGCCTTACCATATTTTGCTGAGCAAAACCATATATAGGAATAGCACTGAAAAATCTAGTGTTGATCTGCAATTAGTGCTGGCATGTTTGGCATTAATTCACAGTTGGTTTGTAATGATGAGCAGATACATGTTACCACAGTCACCTTTTTCTACACAGTTCTTGGCATGGTCACCCCTCACCCCTTGCCCTGCTGAGCTCTCTGTCATTAGTACTGTTCTTTAATTGAGAAAGTAGCGCTTTGAACATCTTTGCAAGGCACAGAGCTGCAGTTAGACTCTTCGTGTCTGTAGTGTCTGTCAAAATATGACCTTGGTGTTGCTCTTGGCAAAAAACATCCCCACCAGTTATGCTTTTATATGAATTCAGTTTCAATCATTGGTTGTCTGATTGATTTTACTTCATTCTATTGCATCTGAAAGCTGGGTTAAAAATTAGGGAAAGTGCCATTGGATTTTTAATGGGAATTCACCATTGGTTCATTCTGTGTTCTTTATTCCTCTTTTCTAGCTAAAGTGTTCAGTCATCCTTCAGATAGCTACTTATTGACCTAGAACTTCTTAAATGCTGGCCTAAGCTTGGAAGAACGTAAGTGAGATTTCTCTATGCTGACAGGATTGCTGTAGGAAAGGTGGCATCCCAAGTTGTAAGGAAGGCACTGCTTTTCTTCATGAAGTTCAATAAGGACACGTGCAAGGTCCTGCACCTGGGTCGATGCAATCCCCACAAATACAGATTGGGTGGAGAACGGATTGAAAACAACCCTGAGGAGAAGGACTTGGGACTGCTCTGCTCTGAAGACAGGCTTAGAGAGTTGGGGGTGTTCAGCCTGGAGAGGAGAAGACTCCAGGGAGACCTTAGAGAACCTTCCAGTGCCTGAAGGAACTCCAGGAAAGATGAGGAGGGACTTGGGACAAGGGCAAAGAGTAATATAGGACAAGGAGTAATGGATTAAAACTGGAAGAGGGGAGATTTAAGTTAGACATTAGGAGGAAATTCTTTAGTGTGAGGGTGGTGAGACACTGGCCCAGGTTGCCCAGGGAAGTTGTGGAAGCCCCTGGAAGTGTTTGAGGGCAGGCAGGATGGGGCTTTGAGTAACCTGGTCTGGTGGGAGGTGTCCCTGCCCATGCAGGGGGGTTGGAACTAGATCATCCTTAAGGTCCCTTCCAACACAAACCATTCATTGATTTCCTGATGGCTGCCTGCTGTGGAACTGCTGTGGTGGACCCCAAATTAACCAACAGAGCTGCACTTTGGGGGCTATGAGTAACTTGTATTTAAGCATTTTGTGCAGCTTCTCAATGTGAAGCATGGGAGCTGCTTAGAGAGGAGCTGGGATGCTCTTGTCTGCAAGTACTCTGCTGAGGGCCTGAGGTGATGCAGCAGGAGTGCCTTGGTTGTAAGGGAGCATCTGCTGTGCACCTTGTGCTTACATCCCATCATACTGGTGAATTTGGAGTCACTAAGGGATCTGAGGAGCTGCTCTTGTGGATCTCTTCCTCCACATATAAACCTCAAGCATACAGGTTAATAAGGAAATTGGTTTGAATCACCCTAAATGTTGCATTTGTAAAATGCTTTGAAAGTAAAATGTTCTTTTTAGGACTATAGAGCACCAGCATTAGCAATTCTTGGTGTCTACACAGAGCCTTACCATATTTTGCTGAGCAAAACCATATATAGGAATAGCACTGAAAAATCTAGTGTTGATCTGCAATTAGTGCTGGCATGTTTGGCATTAATTCACAGTTGGTTTGTAATGATGAGCAGATACATGTTACCACAGTCACCTTTTTCTACACAGTTCTTGGCATGGTCACCCCTCACCCCTTGCCCTGCTGAGCTCTCTGTCATTAGTACTGTTCTTTAATTGAGAAAGTAGCGCTTTGAACATCTTTGCAAGGCACAGAGCTGCAGTTAGACTCTTCGTGTCTGTAGTGTCTGTCAAAATATGACCTTGGTGTTGCTCTTGGCAAAAAACATCCCCACCAGTTATGCTTTTATATGAATTCAGTTTCAATCATTGGTTGTCTGATTGATTTTACTTCATTCTATTGCATCTGAAAGCTGGGTTAAAAATTAGGGAAAGTGCCATTGGATTTTTAATGGGAATTCACCATTGGTTCATTCTGTGTTCTTTATTCCTCTTTTCTAGCTACTGATGTTACTTATAACTGTTTTGCTTAATAGAGGAGGTTCTTGGAGATATATTTCTCCCCTTATCCTTTGACTTCCTGGAATTTTATAGGGCAATAGCCCTGTACTCCTGGGGGGAGAGTAGGAGCCTCTGCTCTTGACTGATGAAATGTCAGTATCTTTAGGCATCATTAGGGGCCTGTGCTTCTTTTCTCTTAGAAAAGAGTAAGCACTGGCATATCAAAAACGCAAAAAAAAAGAGAAACTTCCCTCATTCCAGCTGAGGGGGACCCACAGTGGATCTTATCTAGGCTGGGGCCGGGGGCTGGGTTGGTAGTCTAAATCTCACAAATCTAAGAGAAATTTTAGGAGAATGGAAAGGCTAATGAGCATTTGAACTTGGAACTTGGTTATGGAAGTTTAATGAAGTCACTAGAGTGGTTGGAAAGCAATGCCTGCTTTCATAACACAGAAGTGTAGCTATTTTTAGATTCTCATTATTAATCAGAAGAAATGCATAATGCTTAAATAATACAAAAAATGATCCCACAAATAGACAAAGGACTAAATGTTTATCTAAATTACAATAACATTAATAATCTTTTTTATCCCTAATCTATTTTACTAGACTATTTTGAGGATTGTGGTCCTTGGCATATGGGATTACATTGAAAATAAAATAGAGGTAAGCACTCTTGCTCTTCATACTGTTTTCCAGCAGGCACAGTAAGAATATGAAGAACTGCTTTGGGTGGCTTTGCTATATACCTGATGCTGTACAATAGCTTTAACTCAGATAAATAAATACACACATTTTTCTCATGATAGGCATGGATACAGAGCTGTATGATGCAGTCCCTTTTTCTGTGACAAACTCATAAGAGAGAGAGATTTGGAAATACTTTATTGAGGGATGGATTTATGCTTTTTCACTCTTTGTGTCTATTTATTGTGTTGTTAGAACTGTGCTAGTCTAACTGTTCATACTGCTACTCTGAGCTAATGAGCAATATGAGTTAAAATTGTCATATGACTGGTATAACCCCATTCCTGTAAGTCAAATTAGAACTGGTTAAAAAAATGTGTGTGGTTTTCTGATAGAAAATCCTGGTTTGACAAAACACCCAATTCTCTTGTGAGATTATTTTCTTGTTTTGTTTTTTAGTTAAAATGAAATAATGATAAATGCTGTAATATGTACCTCAAGTTAAAAGTGAAGTAGAATGTGCATACTGTTAGGCAGATAAGGAAATGTAGGTGTTGTAGGTAACACATAATCCAAATCTGAGCAGAAATCAAGAAAATTAAAAGCTTTTTCTTCATGCTATCTGATAAACTAATACTGCACAGGATGCACCAGGAGAAAACAGGGGTCTTCTTGGAACTTAAATGATCTACAGGCTTGCACATTTTTGTAATAAAGTTGTAAATCTTTTAACTTGCTTTGCTAAAATGCTGAAGTGAAACTTAATTTATAGATCCAGAGATTCTTATTATTGAGGTGAAATGCAGCAGTTTCTGATAACACATTTTGGTTATTTGAAATGGAGTGATACTGTTCACTGCCCAGCAAATGATGGCAGAAAGAAGTTTCTTCAATACACTGAATTGTTAGGCACAAATCAGAATGTGTAGTCCTTATAAAATCCATGTTCTGCCTCCTTGTGCAAACCATTAGTCAGTGGTCTTTGGCAGCTGGGAAGGGTCTCAGTTGGGATGAGAACATGGTATTCTGTTCTACCCTGCATAGTACAGACACACTCTATTGCCAGTTTGCTCTGGAGTGTATTTACTCACGTATTTCTGTCTAATACTTTGCACAATTGCCTTTTCTGATCTAATCCCAATGCAGCCAATGTCATACAAATCATTCTGAGTAGCCCCAGTGGTCAAAATCCTTGAAAATCTAGCAGCCCAATAAAGTTAAGAGCAAGGAGTCTTTCTGTCTTGATGCACAGCTGTTCCCACACACGTTGTGTAGTCAGGATGTGGCCAAGAGCCATCAATTCTCTTTGCTCTGCCTTTTTGTACTTGTATTCTTGATCTCTTCATTTAGACAGATGTATGGGCAGGGACTGTATCCTTTTTTGGAATGAAATTATTCTAAGTAACAGGTAATAAATACCAATGATAATAAAACTCTAGCTATGATAGCATTTAGGCTATCACTCTGCCTGGGGATTTTGGCTGGTATTTCCAAATACCTTTCTCTCTCCTTGTCCTCCCACCACAGTTTATCTCTCCTCACCTCGTAAAATGCACTAAAGAATTCTTTTGTGCTACCTAAAAAGGATGCAGCCTTTCTGTGGCTTGGCCACCCCTCATATCCCTTTCAAATATGCACCATAATTGCATTTCTTTTGGGCAGAGTGGGAGCCCTTCAAGACCATAAGCAGGGATTACAGGGGTATGGGCTTTAGGAAGGGGGTGAAAA